AAAGAAAACTAACAGCACAAACACAGAGTTCTTTCTTTCTGGGTCAATCTCTAAAAATAAAAGTTCTCTTGTTCTTATTATTTTGCTTCCTAGATATTGTCACGAAAACCCTTTGATAAAAGCGATTGTGTTGGAAATAATTATATAGAAGGACTTAAATCACTGAAAGTTCAAATACCAACCCATGTGTTTAGCTTTAGGGGAATTTCAGTTTGTCAAAAATGGTCACGAAACATATGAAAATACTGTATTCTAAGAGGCCGATTATCCACTTGTTAGTAAGCAAATTTACATGTGTATATCTGTGTGTGATATTTTGGTACATGCACATCTGCATTTTAAATTGAAAGATTCTAAGGCCTGTGCACCAGATCTTTCTGTAGGATTGCACTTATTTGAAATGCACTTACTGGGGCAGGAAATGAGTCTTTGTCTCATTAAATTTGGTGCATGCTCAGCCAAATTGTGAGCTAGATTGTAACCTTACGATCTGACCTCACTGAAGGGTGATGCATAGTCCAGTGCCCCAGAAGGAGACTAGAGAATTAATTGGGAATCAGAGTCACAATCCTCCCCTGCTCTCTCCTTGTTCTGGAGAGAAGTTATTTTTGCTCTTTTTGTAGAGCAGCTTCTTCCCCTGTTGTGTCCCAGCTAACTACTCTGGCTGGCTAGTGGCGGGTGGGGAGAGAGCAGAGGAGAGGGAAGGGTTCTACTCCTCCACCCCTTCCTCACCCATTTGCTCACAGCAAGGAGTGTCAGGCAAATAGCTCTTGTTCTCTCTCTCTCTCTCCACTGCAGCTGGAATCACAGTCTCAGAAGTTATGAGTGGGAGGTAGGAGGGGGCCTTATTCCCTATTCCTTATCTGCACAGCAGAGTAAGGGTTGTGTCAATCTTGCCCACTGAGGGTGACCTCATTCTGTGAGTAGTCCCGCTAACATGAGTAGCACCACTGAGTGAAAGTAGAGTGGCAGAATCTGGTCCTCCGTGAGAAAGGATTATACAGAAGTTAGTCCTCCCTGGGTAAGTCTACACTGCAATTAAAAACACGTAGCTGGCCATGTCAACTGTCTCAGGCTGCGGGGCTCAGGCTAAGGGGCTGTTTAATTGTGGTATAGACATTCAGGCTCAGGCTGCATCCCGAGCTGTGGGAACCTCCTACTTTCTGGGATCCTAGGGCCCAAGCTCCAGCCCAAGCCTGAATGTCTACATCACAGTTAAATGTAGCCTGAGCCCTATGAGCCTGAGTCAGTTGGCACGGGCCAGCCATGGATTTTAACTGCAGTGTAGACACGCCCAATGAGGTCTCAATCCAGCAAAGAGTGTGATTAGTCCGTTTAATGTCATTGGGATTACTAATGTGCTTAAAGTTGCACACCTGCTTGAGCACTTTCTTGAATAGGGACGGGAGTGCACAAGAGAGAGCATTCCAGAGACTTCTAGCAATATAATTTGATTATATTTCTTTTTTCTTTAAAAAATAATTAAACAAATATACAAAATACCCACAATCTACCAGAGTCTCTCAAAACCTTTCTCAAGAAATGGTTACTTGTGCATTTTAAGTACCCGGTAGTCAAGGAATGTCAGTGGGGTTTCCACTTGCAACCTTAATTCTATTTTGTATATGCATATTAGAATGCAATCTTTACTGTGAGCTCTGAGATTACTGTACTAATGCTATGCAAATGTACTGACCTTTACTGCTAAACATCCACTATCCATTTGTCTGATTATATATTGCCTCTTATCATAACCCTATACAGTGATCTGTCCGGAGCATGGATTGTCTTTGATTTGTTTGTATGGTGCCTAGCTCAGTTGGGCCCTAATCCCTGATTGGGGGATGTAGGCACTACTGCAATACAAATAATAATACTCACATGATCAAAAACTCTTTTTTAAATAATACATGATAACTTTCATACATATTTTTCTACAGCCTTTGTAAAGTGCCTCTTTCACACAGTGAATGAGGCAGAGCTCTGCATATCAGCTTTGCATACTTACATTTGTATCAGAGTAGTAGCCGTGTTAGTCTGTATCCGCAAAAAGAACAGGAGTACTTGTGGCACCTTAGAGACTACCACAAGTACTCCTGTTCTTTTTACATTTGTATGAAGTTCAGCAGTTCTCTTACTGTCATATACTATGTAGTAGTCAATAACAGAAGGTGCTACATTGTCTAAAATTCTAGAAACATTTGTATGTTCTATTGTATAATCTGAGAAATAGCATGGGATGATGTAATACTGCCACCTAACTTCCCATCTTCCCTCCATCTCTCACAGGATCAGGACATGCAGGTGAATGATGGCAGACACAGGGATGGATTTAAGTGGCAGGCTGTAACTTTATCAACTTAACACGGGGAGGTGTGCTGTATGTCCCACATCTCTCATGTACCAGGCATTGAAGTGATTTCAGTGCCGGGGTTACAGGACTCCCAACATACGACCCATAACTTAGTATAGACCATTCTCAGCCTACCTCTAGAATTCAGCTCACTTCTGAATCCTCTCACCCTCCCTCCTGCAAAGGGGTAGAAGGAGGGTACAAAAGGAGTCTATGAAGACTTCAGGTTCTCTCTTTCCACAGACACAAGGTCTACCAGTGAAACTCAGGTCTTTATTATCTTCAGAAGCTGGCCCTTTCGGCTTTTATCGGCACTGGATACCAGTTATTCCACTCTGCGCTCTAACCAAAACCAATCACAAAGAAACAAACTATTATATGTTGGCATCCATCATTATATAGAGAGGGAGAAACTCTGAGTAATGATCTGTAAAGGATAATGTTCCAGTTTCTTACTCTGCCATCTTAACTTCTAATTGATGTAATATAAACCATTTATACAGTCTCACTCTAGTAATATATAAAAATTAAATTGTGTGAAAGAACATTGCATTGCTAAGGATTTATCCGGAGGTCTTCCCCAGTTCTGGAAGGAAAAAAGGGAACATGTCAAAAAAGGAAGGAAATTAATATGCTCTGAGTCCTGTTTCAGTCATTGTTAGTTTCTTGTACATCAGTGCCCTTGCCCTCAACAGTATTTAAGAGATAGTCATGTAATCTGGTTGCTGCTGCTTGATCTCAGAATATATGCGATTGCCCAACAAAAGTGATCTTGGGCCTGATTTTCCATTGCCCTGCACCTTGTGTAGTCCTTTACACCAGTGCAAAGTAAAAGTAAAATGCTATCAAATCATGATGTTAGCCTTTTACACTCATTTTTCACTGTTGCAAATGACTAAGTAAGGTGCTGAAAACAACAAAGAATCAGGTCCTTTTTAGTTTTGCTCGTGGAAAAATAGAGGTTTCAGCTCCGTTGTCTACCAAATTTCTTTTCAAAATAGCAAAGCCCTTCTTCAACCTCTGTGGCTGGACTGAGATCTGGGGAAAATTCATTTAATTTTATAGTACTTGTATATAGTATAGCAGAGTTCTATATCTCTGATCAGACAGCATTGTTCCCTGAAACTTTTTAAGGCTTTTCCTAGTAGAAATACCGTAGGCTATTTTCAAGTACTGTTAGTTTTTAATTTAACTGCTTTTATAAATTCTTACCCTTACATAGTTACTGGTGATTTTTCCACTAATAATAATAGACTATCTGCTGTATAATGGTGCTGTACTTACAAATTTGTTCTATGCCATTCTTTTCTAATGTGTTTTCCTTGAGATTCACATGAAAGTTGTAGTGTAAATAATAAATGACAGGCGCCTTCGTGGGAAGTAGGTGGCGCTGTCAGTAGAAAACACAATTAAAATTATAAAACATGGCCCAATTGTTGCAGCAGCCTAATATCTGTGTAGCAAATGTACATTGTAACTAGATCTTTTCTTAAAGTGTCCACTTCAGAAGCAACTGGGGAATTTCCTTATAGGCACTGGAAAATATCCCCTTCATTTGGCAAAAAAGGATTAGCCTGTAGATCTGATTAGGAATTTGCACATGACTTTATTATTATATAGATAAAAAGAAGCAAATTCCTCAGAATCAAAAGGAAGTCAAAGAAAATAATATCTAGTAACCCAAGCAGGTAGAAAATGCTGCTCTAAGAATTTTTTTAGAGTTTGACATGACAGTTGCTGACGATGTAGGATAAATAGCAAAAAAAAAAGGTGTTTTACTCCATTCATCCAGGGAAATATTCTAAGTACAAGAAGCAGGAGAATTCCGAATATTTTAATAAATAGGATTCATAGTGAAATATGAGTCAACTCTGAAACAATTTAATAATATAATTTTTAGCTTAAGTTGAGCTCAGTCTTAACAAAATAAAATGTTTAATTCTGAGAAAATATTTCTAATTTCATGAAATGCTAGCCAGAAATTGATTTATTTACTTAATTCTTTTGTAGAAATCAGAATTATGTCATTTAAAAACATAAGGCTCCTCTGGTTTACATCTTTTCCCCCCAAAAGCCACCCCTAAATGAACTGTAAAAATATGAATGTGCAGCATACTTCAGCAAACAGCACAGCTGGAACATTCAGTATTCTTTACTTATTATTTCCCTGTATATTAATAATTAAATATTACTGCAAGGCCCAATCCTGTAATCCTTATTCAGGCAAAACTGTCCGTGAAGCCAATGCCTGTATGAACACTGCAGGATCTGGCCCATTGTCAGAAACTATTCTTTTTGAAGCAGGCAGCCAAACATACAACAAACTCTTTGAAAAAAATTATCTCTACTATGTTGTGTGACAGCAATGTCATGACATTATACATCTTTTTTAGCATAAAGAGTGTTTGGAATATGTCTTGTGAGAAGGTTTTAAAGATGAAAATAATCTGTGGGCCAGAATATTTGTTTTATCTTTGGAAATTTCATTTCATCTAGACCATTTTGATATATCATTTTAAAAACAGGATAAAATGTTATGTTTTAAACCTGACATCTGGTGATAAATCATATTCACAAGTTTAAATTGTAGCAAGAGATACGTGATTGTAGCCATCAGCATTAACGGGCATATGCATACAATTCTTAGACATATGAAAGATCAAAACAAGAAAGTTGCCAATCTGAAGCACAATCAACAAATGGAAAAAAAGAAGAATGCTCAGTTGCTGGAAGAAGTTCGTAGGCGAGAAGACAATATGACAGACAACTCTCAGCACTTGCAGGTGAGCTGATTTATTAATTCATAATTGTATGCTGGTTTATTAATTACACTTTAAAACGGCCAGAAAAAGTATTTTCCAATGTATGTGTTGTTTCAAAGATGCATAATGTGTCTGAACCTAGTGATCACTCAACTCTCATCAGAGGAGGCATTCATAAGTTCACAAGATTAGGTCCAATATGTGCTAGAAGGGGATCTTCCATGTAATGCAGAATAAGAAGACTCCGAATGAGAATTTGCTAAATACATTCAATATTAATCACAGATATGAAATGCTGACTTCTTGATTTGAATTGAGAATTTTAAATCTGTATAGTATAGCCATACATTTCTCTCTTCCATTCATTTCACTTGCACTCCTTGGACCAAATTCTGCACCCAGTTATACCTATGTGACCCGACTTATGTACAGGGCCAGTTCCATGCCCCAGCGTAGCAAGCAGGTGCCTGGACGGCCAATGAAGAGGGGGGCGGCCAATTCGGCGGCGGGGTCGTCACTCCCTCTCGGAGCGAAGGACCTGCCGCTGAATTGCCGCCGATCGCGATCGCGGCTTTTTTTTTTTTTTCCTGCTTGGGACTGCAAAAACGCTAGAGCCAGCCCTGCTTATGTATAAGTAATTTGGAGGAATGCTGAGTGGAATGTATTGGTCTTCTCTTCAGTGTAACGTCATTTTCCCTTAGTGTAAATGAAAGAAGGATATTCCATTTCCATTTCCTGACTTATCTCAAGATGAAAGGAATGTGAACATATTTTTTGTTTTATGTGTTTTTCTCTGTAAAATAATTATAGAAGGTTAAGCATTATATTATTCTTACATATATATATAAACATTCAAAGATTTAAAAAACAAGTATCACAAGGAAAAAGCAGAGCCTTCATGAACCAACAGCTCCTCATTTTTAAAGACAGGTTTTTACCTTGGTTTCAGAAGAGTTTATACAGTTAATGGATCATCAAAATTCAGAGATAAAGATTCTGCAAGATAATCAGCTGATACAATTCAGTGATACAGTGTGTACAGAAGAAGTTATATTGTAGCAGAGACTAACACATAATTTTGATACCTGCGTTCAGTTATTATTTAGTCTTCTCTGACAATTGACTAAAAATAACCTCTGATCAAATGTATCTAATATTACAAAAATCTGTGAACCACCTGGGGGTACCTGGAATCAGTATTTATAAGTAAAGTTTAAGTTACAGTACTCCAGGTGCTTGTTTGCTTGATCTGGTGGTATAATGGCTCCCTGGATGGTTTCTAATAGATGAAATTTGGCCTGCATGTGCTTTGTACTGTATTGTGTTTCCAGTGTGTCTGTGTGCAATATGGAGAATTTAACACCACTATTTGCTACCTAGTGTTGGCTCTACAGCTGCTAGGTATGTCAGAATCAGATATAGGAGATTATATATCATCCAAGTTCTTGGAAATTTTATAAATTGCAGTGTTGTATACTGCACTGTACTATACTAAATGGGTTTAAAAAAAAAGAAATATTGAAGTTTATGTAGGCTTACCATGGACCATGTAATTTATAAGGATAAAATTAGATTTCTATAGTGCAGAATTACCATTTAGAACACTGAATTAGTTTTTAGAAGTTAATTTATCTCAGTAAACAGAATCTGATTTAACAGCCTGAGAGCGCTTTATTTTTGCCATTGATAATTCACAAGGCTGTTGTGGTGGAAACATCCACTAAAAGATAGTTTCAGAACTCTCTTTCTGAGTCTTTGATGTGCTACCCTCAGAGAATACCATGTGGAGCTTTCATGTCTCTCTCATTTTATCTTCTTATATATAATTATAATGTGCCCATCAAATAGTACCAGAGTGATACCTTGGCTGAATTTTCAAAGAATAAACTCTGCCTCGGATATATCCCTCTTCTGCAACTCAGTTGCTATCAAACATTTGCCAGTAATTAATTATGAAAATGTTAAATAATTAAGAACAATTATTTTAATATTAAGATTCTTTATATTCATTACATTAATTTTTCATTTAAAATCTATATTTTAGAAGTCTACATGAGGCAGAAATAAATGTCAGCTATAATGTGTTAATTCCTGTATAATAGAACAAACTTACCTTGGGAAGGAATGCATAAGCTGTGGTTATCTTTATCAGGAAATTAAAAGATGTGGTATTTCCGTCCTGGGTGTGTTTACAACCTTTGGATGCTTGTTTCTGTAAACAGCAATATACCCAGTAATAGTATATCTGGCATATTGTAGGTAAAAAAAGGGGGAAGTCTGATACAATTGTTCAGAAAAACTGAATGACCTCTTCCTAAATGGAAAGTGCTTTAACTTTCTCTAACATGAGGGCCTTATTCACATGGGACAGTGATCCACAGGTTAAAGAGGCATTAAAAGATCCGACAAAACAAAAAAAGAGGTTAATCTCTCTTAGACTTGGCTTTTGCACTGGTCCTTGAAAGTTACCTCACTGTTGGTAGCTTGATTTCTGAACCACTAGGTGCCTTCTGACTTCACTGAAAGTTGAAGGTTCTGAGCATCTTGAAGGAGATGCTCAACACTTTGCAAGATATAATGTAATGTGAGTAAAAGTCAGTGATACCAAATCTTTATTTATAACTTGGGAATTGACATTATAGGGCATCTTGATCAGAATAGTATCCATGATGTAGAGTTAGACTCTGCATTGCCCTAAGTGCACATGTGATGGGTCGGGGTACAATGAGCTTCCATCTCCCTTTGGGCAGCTGCAGTCCCTGCTTTCAGGAGGAGTGCTGGACTGTTCCTTCTCTACTCCCTTAGAAGTGAAAAGGAGGTGAGGCCATGGCTTTACCCCTTCCCACTACAAAGCACTAGCCAGCAGATCTAGCTGACTGCACAGGGCTTATTGATATCCTGAACCACCACAAAGGCCTTAGAAGCTGGCCTACAGCCTCTGTGTGCCTAAAGCTCTGGGACAGACTCTGCTGCAGAATGCTTATCAGTGCTTTCTCTGGGAAGAGGCAGCTCAACACTGCTCCTTACTGTGGCACAATCTAACCCATAAGTAAGGTGATCAGGGTCAGTGCTAGTGTTGTGTTCTGTTTCAATGAAATCCAAGTTTTATCTAGTTTTACTATTACCCATTGCTGACTGGCCATCTGGATAACTTTTCCTCACTCCTTGCTCTGACTTCTTTCTGTCCACTCCCTGTTGATGTCTGTTGTGCTTTCACTGAACTGGCTGTATTCTCCTTCTGCTGTCCGCTTCCTCAGTGAATTAGACTGGCTCTCATTCCATTGATTAAGGGTGCAAAGCAGGTTGGATTAAAGGGCAAGTGTTCAAAAGCAGGTAAGTGAGGAACAGAGAGCTCATAGAAACCAATGTCAAATGTAAAAGAAATCTTTGAAATGTGAAATGGAGATCTTTTGGAAATACAAATGACTATGTTTATAGAAAAGACTAGACTGACCCAGAGTGCTGGCAGTAGCTCAGAGGTGATTTTGATTGACATCTGAGGCATCTGACTGAAGGTGATTTTGACTTAAAACTTTAGCACCTGGTCATATTAAATAATTTAATTTATTTGGCATAATATAAATACTCCTGCAAACTTAGTTACAAAGAATCTGGCTGGAGGGATGCAGTACAGCTGCGTTCTGCAGGTCTCTGAGCTTTTGACTACATTTGTGAGCATACTGAATTTCTACTGTGTTTGGCTTTTGCTTTCTAATATCTCTGTTCTAAATGATACATATTGTAAATTAATTAGATTGTAATGAGGTAACTTGTGTCCACTCATTTTCTCTCCCAATGAGGAATTAGCCCACTGCTGGAATATGGATATTTGTTATCAATTGGAAGGTATGATAATACTTTATATCAGTAGATAGAATTTGAACCTGTGTGGCTTCTGCTTAAATCCTTTATAGTGAAATGGGCACATAGTGAATTCATAGATGTGATTTTAGTGTTGTCCCAACTAACAACCAGATAAAATGGAAAACATAGTCAATCTTTATATTAAGGTTCCATTTATAAATAGTATATAAATGGTTAATAAATTATTAATGGATGTTTTAATACATGGTGAATCAATTCTTATACATTACTATAGAGTCCAATAGCTCAATATGTTGCTTTATTCATGTGGCTTATATCCATCTGTAACACCTTCTACTGGATGTGCTTATAACACATATTACTTATGTCTGTTATATGCTTATAACATCTGTTAATAATTTATTAACCTTTTATAAACCATTTATAAATGCAACCTTAATGTAAAGAGTGACCTAAAATTCTTTGACCAAGTATAATAGATTCTTGATACTATGTGAGGCCATAGCCAGCTGGCTGTGGCTCCAAGGGTCTAATATGTCAGTTCAGGACATATCCTGTGCTGGAGCACAATGTAGCTCTGACTAGATCCCCTTTCTCCCCAGGCAGGGCTCCTACACTGGGAGCTGGGAAGGAGTTGGTGCGGGAGACCATAGAGCTGGCTCAAGGTACTTGGAGATTCCCCTAGAGCAGTGGTTCTCAAGCAGGGGCACGTGTACACCTGGAGGTACGCAGAGGTCTTCCAGGGGGTACATCAGCTCATCTTGAAATTTGTCTAGTTTTACAACAGGCTACATAAAAACCACTAGCGAAGTCAATACAAACTAAAATTTCATATAGACAATGACTTGTTTATACTGCTCATGTTCCAGTTGATTTATTTTATAATTATACAGTAAAAATTAGAAAGTATTTTTTCAGTAATAGTTTGTTGTGACACTTTTGTATTTTTATATCTGGTTTTGTAAGCAAGTAGCTTTTAAGCGAGGTATAACTTGGGGTTACGCAAGACAAATCAGACTCCTGAAAAGGGTACAGTGGTCTGGAAAGGTTGAGAGCCACTGCCCTAAGGGAAACCCAAGGAAATCAGTTAGCTGGGTTTCCATCTAGTTTATACAGCTGGAGCAGGGACAGAGGTTCTGTCCCTAAATCTGCACTGCTTACTTGCTATATGACAGGTTTCAAGAAATTCAGAAGTC